ACATCGCGGGGAAGCAGCAAGCGTGGACTTCTGGTGCTAACGGGCTCTTCAAGCTCTCCAAGTCCCATGTGGTGCCCCATGAGGACCCTTGCAACTCCTTGACCTACATCCTGGCCGACATCACCCAGGTCCCCAGCGATTTAGCTCAGGCGCTGCATGTTTGGGCCGACAAAGCGGCTCAAGAAAAACATCGACAGTTCGCCAGGTACAAAGAACAACAATGGCGAGAATGGGTCAATACTCATTCCGTCAACGGCGCCTCCGCCCATTATTCCTTCTCCGTGCCTCCGATCGGCCGGCAGCCCAGCGGCGTGGATCGCTGTACTTTGCGGCTCGCCAACTCGCACGATAAGTAAATGTGCTTCAGCAGGAGTGGGAAGGATGGTGGAAGGTGCACGCTGAACTGCAGCCCCTCGTTTGGCCTGGGCTCCTGGTCGAAAGACCCGACCCCCCACGGTTCAGGAACTCAGGGTTGTCATTTGCACCCTCCCCATCAAAACTGGTTCAGGTTTTGATCAGGTCAGCCCCAGGAACCCCCCCCTGCTCCCAGATGTGGCGCAAGCGATCCTGTGCGACATCATTGCGCACATTGAGCAGCATTTAGTCTGGCCACCAATGTGCAGCATAACAGTTTTCATTATGAAGCGAGCTGGTGGTTTGCGACCTCTCGGACTGCTTCATGTCCTTTGCCGTATTCAGCGTCGTCTGCGCAGGCCGATGATAGGAGCTTGGCAGCGACGCAATGTCAGGTATTTCTGTTGGTCGACCAAGGGGCGCTCAGTGGAGAAGTGTGTCTGGATTTCGAGCGCTTGGTCCGAATGTTGCACTATCCAGGGGCTTCGTTCTGGAACTATCTTCTTGGACCTCAAACAAGCTTTTGAGTTTGCGCAGCGTCGCCGTCTCATCCAAGCGGCCTTCGACTCACACTTCCCCTTCTGGCAACTCCGTCTCCTGATCGACGTGTACAGAGCGCCGAGGGTGCTAGACCTCCAAGGGGCGCGCAGCGATTTCATTGATGTGCAGCAGGCAGTTGTTCCAGGATGCACATTCGCGACTTTGATGTTGCAGTTGCTACTTCTGGGGCCCCTCGACAGAGTTCAAGCTGCACGCCGCTCGTTTGTTTTGGCCGTCAATGAGGATGATTTCTCCCTGCAGCGCTTCGGTGGCGAGGAGCGCGTGGGGCACGAGCTCGAACAGACCGCCAAGTGCCTTGTCTCAGAGCTAACCAAAGTGGACATGCAGCTCGCTGTAGATAAAGGTCGCGCGGCCAGCAACTCGCGAAAACTAAGGCAGAGGTTCGCGCGAAACCTTCGGCACCTGGGCATTCAGGCCGTGGGGGCCGAGCGAAATCTTGGAGTCGATTTTGCGGCTAGCAAAGCGCAGCCTCGGCGTGCCACCGCTGCTAGGGTCATAGCCATCGAGGCGAGGCGCCGCCGCATGTCCGCTTTTTAAAATCAGGGCGCCCAAGGAGAAAGCTGCTGGACAGATGAGTCGAGCGGCGCTCGAGGGCGCCATCTCCCTCGGCACGGCCGTCGCAGGAGTCAGCGAGAAGGAGCTTCGCACGCTTCGCAGTCTCGCCGGCAAGTTGCAGGATCACAAGCAATCTGGGAAGAGCCTCACCTTGTCTCTCATGCTGGCGCACAACAAGGACCTCGACCCCGTCATGAGCCAGTTGGTTGCCCGTCAAGTTCTTGTTGTTATGCCTACACCAGAAATGGATGCCCCCACAGGTCCTCGATAAGAGCCCCCAGCAGGTCGGTGCCCACCTCAGCCTCCTCAAGTACCCTTGGGGATCCATAGCTGGGCCGTTTTACGACTCTCTGGGCCTCTCTACGGCAGCGCGTGAAGATAGCCGAACATGTTGACGCACCCGAGTTTCGCACCGGCGTGTTTTTTTGCCCTATCTTCTTCTTTTTTTGCGCCCCAGAGTTTTGCCTCAGCAGCGTGCGTATGTCAGATCTTGTGTCATTGGAGCGCAGTGGCCAATTGCGAGGCAGTGGGCAGCCGGTTACCCCGTCGAGCCCAACTGTCTTGCCTGCCTCGCCACTGGTGTCAGGAAAGTCGGAGACCTGTTACATCGGCACTGCGCGTGCCCTGAGCACGCTCTCAACCTCGAAGGGCCGCACATGTTATGTTCGTCTCTTTGCGAAGCCGCTCGAGATGGGGGTTCCAGCTGTTGCTCGCCGAGCGATGTTTGCTACCCGTGCCCTCTTTGGAGCGTCATAGCCTTCCTGGCCTCCCCATCCATGCTTTGGGCCCACGGGTCACCTGATCAGCTCACGGGAGATGGTTTCCTGGACGGCTCGATTTCTGAAGGACATGGGACCCTTTCGCTGCAGGAGGCTGGGCAATTGTTTCTTTGACCAGAGGAGCCCGGACTCTGCGCGAGGTCCAAGCGTTGATTTGTGGACCCTGGCGTTCGGAGTTTCCCGCCATCAATGAAGCTGAGCTGCGTGCGTTGATTGAATATCTCAGGCACGCTTGCCCTCCCGTTTTAGTGCACCCAGACTCCAAGTATCTGCATGATGGAGTTTTTTCGAGGGACGCCTGCACACCACGCAGGTTCTTGATTCACACACCTTACTCTGGTACGTGGTGTGGGACAGGCTTGAGGATTGGGGCTTCGATGCTTCGGAGTCGTCGTCGGTTCGGTTTGTCAAAATCCCTGCCCGCCGCGCTCGCGCCGATGTCTCCACGGGGCGAGTTTTGCTCCGTTGCAAACTCGGCAACGACATGGCCGACAAGTGCGCCCGATGGGCGGCGCAGGCCTGTCGAGCGCCGCCGCCAGCCGCCGCCGCCGCTGTCGCCGCCGGGGGTAGAGTTTTGAAGTCCTGGGTGAAGTGGATGGGGCGCATCGGGGACGACCTCCCTGACTCCTCACCCTCCGTCCCTTCAGCGGGGTAAGCCCCCTGTCCTGAGGATCGACCTCGTACGTGGGCCCTTTCCCCAGGACATTGTTTCCCAGGCCGTGCGTGCGCCCCAGGATCTCAGGGACAGAGGTGAGACGCCCCGCGCACTAGTTAAGTTCGGTCTCAAAGAGAGCGTCGTTTTGGTAAGTTGTTCTCGTTGCGGAGTTTCGTCGCCCCCTCGGCTGGCTTCCCTGGCCCCCACGCGTTCTGGGAATCTCCCAGGTTGGGCCAAGAAGTTGCGGGCGAGGCCCCGCCGTGGCGAATGCAGGCACGCCGCCCCTGGCAGAGCCCGCGCTCTACGAGCGCTGACCACTGCGCCCGCGCCGAGCCCCCTTGGCTTTCGCCTGAGTCCAGGAGGCATGCCTTCAGTGACGGGCCCACGCCAGGGATGGGGCGCGCTGGCCGTCCTGGCGTTCCACGCACCAGGGGTGGGCATTGCCGAGTCCTGGCGTCGCCTCATCTTGTATATTTGTGCGCGCATGCGCGCGCGCTCCTCGCGCGCGCGCGCCATGCGCCCCGCTTCAGGGGGAAAGGGGCGCCCGCCCATTTCTTGCCACGACGGCCGCTGTCACGCCGTGGCGCGTTGCAGGTTCGATCTGGGGGTTTGATATCGCGTTCCTGGCGGCGCAGGTTGCGCAACCCGCCTTTGACCCGAGCTTTGGGGCACCGACGGCTTGTCGAGCATTGCCGTCCATTTCACAGCAGTTTGCCCTTTTGGCGAGCCCCCTTGTTGTTTTGTACGTGCGCGCGCATTCTGCGCGCGCATCAGGCGCGCCAGTTGTGGGGGGAAGGTGCTCCGCACGAGTGGAGCGATTGTTTCCCGTGGGCTTGGCACGGGGGTTGGCATTGCCCTGGCCGAGGCTATGCCTCGGGTTGTCTATTGCTGCGCTTCCCAGTTTTGTGCTAGGAGGTTTGCTCGCCGTCCTGGCGTTCTTTACACCAGGGGCGAGATTAGTTGTGCTGTTCTGGTGTCGCCCTGGCGGCATTTCGCGCGCGCGTGCGCGCGCGTCCTGCACGTGTATCAGGCACCTTATGTGGGGGAAGGTGCGCTGCGCGTGAGTCCGACTTTCCCTGTGGGAATTGCACGGGGGCGGAGACAGGTCCGCCCTGACCGATGCTTTGCCTCAGGTTTGGTTTCCTGGCTCAGTGCTGGGGCTGCCTGGGGGTTGGCTTCCCTCTGTGGGAGGTGCAGGTTACGCAGCCTGCCATGGTGCCCGAACCTTGGGGTTCCTCCTGCAGTTGGTGCCCTCCGTCCCTGACCTTTTTCTCCTTCAGCGGGCAAGGTGGGCCCTTGTGCACGGTCTGGGTAGCCCACGTGGGCCCCTGGCGACCGTTGCGCGGGTCCTACCTGTGGGAGCTTTGGGCGCGGTCGGCGGGGGGTGCCAGTTACGCAGCCTGTCCTGGAACCCGAGCCTTGGGGTTCCCCTTGCCGCCGCTGCCCTTTTCCCATTCCTTTTTCCCTTTCGGGCTCTGCCTCCCTGGTGCACGGCTTGGTGGCCGCGTTGGGCCGCCTGGTGACAGCTGCGCAAGAGAAGCCGGCGGGAGCTGTGGGCACGGGGGCTGCTGGGTATCCAGCCGCTCCGACCGTTGCTCACTACCCTCCACCTCCCCTTTTTCAGCGAGGAGGAGGAGGTCTGCCTCCCCAGACGCAGCGCCGTCCAGGGTTGGCTCTGACGCCAAGGAGCGCCCTCTTTCGGTTGCTCGTCGAAGACTTTTCGGCGCGCAGTGTCTTGCGCACGAGGAGTGGGAGGAGGAGGAAGAGGAGGAGGAGGAGGAGGAGGAGGAGGAGGAGAAGAGGAGGAGGAGAAGAGGAGAGGGGAGGGGGAGGGGGGAAGGAAGAGGAGGTGGGCGGGCAGGATGAGGAGGAACAAGAGATGAAGAGGAACGGGAAGAGGACGAGGAGGAGGAGGATGCGGTAACACCCGAGTCGAGGAGAAGGAATAGGAGGTGGAGAAGGAAGAAGACGGGGAGGAATAGGAGGAGGAGGAGGATGAAGAGGCGGGGGTGGAAGAGGAGGAGGATGAGGAGGAGGAGGAAGTGGAAGAGAAGGGGAAGGAGGAGGCGGAGGAGGAGGTGCTCTTCGCCACGGAGGTGTCCCGCCTCTCGCTCGCGGCCTCCGGCGTCCTGTCGTTGCTAGCGGCGGGCGCGCTGCTGGGGGCCGTCCGCGCGCGCCCGGGCAGGAGCCGCCACCGGGGGGGTCCCTGGGGCGTGCATGATTGGGGGGGACATCGTGGCCAGGGCCACGATACCTCCCCAGATCACACGGCCCCCTTCTAATTGCAATACGGCCTCTGGCCCCACCCCCGGGCCGCGCACGTGCTTCGGGCCATGAATTCCTGAACCCCTCTTGGACCCCCAGGGGAGGAGGTGCACTTGAGTTTTGCGCGATGCTTCGCGCGCAAGGGGGAGGAGAAGTCAGGGTTTCGAGGCTCGAGGTTTTGGGATGTTTTCGATTGTCCTCCGCTGTCTTCTGGCCTCGGGGTGCCGTCCAGCAGCTGCGCCTCTCCGAGAGCGTTTTCGGGACTGCCCGGATCGCCCCGAAGGGATGACGAGTCAGGGGCAGCGTCAGGGGGGGGGGGGCAGCCTCAGGGGAGGGTACATCCACCCACACTCGCACACCCATCGCCATTCGCACACCCATCGCCATTATGAAGGCGGTTGGGGAGGGGGATGTGGTGGAGTGTGTGGAAGGGGGGGGGCACTGCAGCCTGGCGCGGGCAGGCTCAGGGTGGCTGCATCGACCCCCAAAGGCCCATTCAGCGCCGACAGGGGCCTGGTAGCCCACCCCGCCGTGGGGGCAACAATTGGGGTCGGTGGGTGGGGCAACACATGCGAACAGCACTCTTGCCCCCGCCGCCTCCCCCACACTCTTATCCGCAATCGCGGTGTGCTGCGTATTTCACTTCAGGGGCTGATAGCCCGTCCCGCGACATGAGGGAGGAGAAGGAGGAGGAGGAGGAGGAGGAGAAGAGAGGAGGAGGATTGAGATCTAGGGTGGTGACAGACCGTGCGGTGACCTCGAAATCCCGAAATGCCTCACCGCACGGCCCGTCTCTGCGGGGTTTCGACCCTGGACGCTTCAGTCGCACGATACGTCCTCGGAGAACGACCCAAAACGTCTACAAAATCGTGCGGTCACCCCGAATCCCCACTGACTCACCACACGGTGTGGTCACCTGACCGTTTGGGGGACCGCGAGAGAATATGGGAGAATTCGGCTAGGACGATGGAAGAAACTATGTAAAAACGGCCATGGCCGCCATTTCCGAGCCGGCGTCCTCGGTGACGGCCGCGCTGTTGGCTGGGGACCAAGCAAGCGGAGCGGAGCGTGCCGGGGGCGGCGCCGGCAGCGCCGCCTGGGGAGGTCAGCGTCGGTCCCAGAAATCCGCGCGGAACTCCGAAAATTATGTTGATGCAGTCCGTTGTTCATCTAATCGCGACCCAAATATCCTTATGATTTGGCCTCCATGTTCGCCTTTCTCCATGAGGGTGCTAGGATCACGACGTGCACATTTGATGTGACAATTCTTCACGCGTCGCGTATCCCCACCAGCACCGCCCGCCGCCGGCGCTTCCGCCTGCGGCTGTAAAAAAATATATCCCCACCAGCTTGTTGGCAGATGCTATCGACGGTAATGCGTTACTCGGACCCGCACCTGCCGCTCCGCACGTCGGCGGATCGTGGTACGTTGGCTGAATGGATGACTGGCCGCTGGTGTCAGTGCCCCTTCGTGTGGCTGCTACGTGGTAGGTGCACAACACCCGTATTGACGACGGCGCCGGTATGTCACGATCTGCCCTGTTCGTTGATTTGGTTTGCGTTGATTTCTTCATCGGGGCGAAGTGTGTTGCTGAGGTTCCCTGTGCACGAGGGTTCGGTTTTTTTCGTTTTCGCTTTCGGCCTTTGAGCGTGCCGCGTGCCCGCAGCTTCTGTCTTCAGCCGCTGCTTTAGGATTGTTTGACCCTTGCGACGGCGCTCCGCCGTACCGCTTGCGCTCGCGAAGAAAAATCCCCACCAGCCCCTGCATAAATCCTGCCAATCAGAGCTGGCGGGGAAAAGGGGACGACGAGACACATATAGTACAACATGCGGGCAACCAGGATGAACGGAAATAGGGAGAAAGAGAGAGAGAGAGAGAGAGAAACCTTCGGGAGCAAGGGGGCGATTTTGCAGGGCTTGTTCGGGCCATCCTTGGGGCCCGCGGAGGGGCGAGGGGAAGAGGAAGAGGCGGAGGGGGAACGGGAGGAGGAGGAGGAGGAAGAGGAGGAGGAAGAGGAGGACGCACACCGTCTCTAGAGGCCCTCGCGGGACGCTCTTGGGGCCCTCGTGGGCGCTATTGGAGACGTCTAGGTCATGGCCTTTTTGGAGCCCTATTGAGGCCCTCCTGGGAGCCCTGGAGGCACTGGAAGGCCTCTTGGAGCCATCTTCCAGGGCGTCGGTGAAAAATGAGGTTTCCTAATGTCCCTCTCCCCCGCGGGGCCATCACAATTATCTCTTGGGGCCCTCTTTGGAGCGCTCTTGAGGCCCTTTCGGGGGGCCTCGTGGGCCCGTCTGAGGGCCAAAATGGGCAATGTTGGGACTTCTCAAGCGCGTCAGAAGCGAAAGGGCGAGAAGGCACGAGGCATTGATGTTCATTGTGTGTGTGAAAGACTCTAAAGCGAGCTGGGGGGCGCGAGGAGTGGAAGCGAACGTGCGCCCGCGGCCGCCTTGGCTCAAAGCGGCCGGCCGCCCAGATTTGATTGTGCCTCGCCGCGAGGCACATTATCGCTATTGGTACTAAAAGGCAACCCGTTTTACTTGTCATGGCATCCCCTCTTGCATTGAGCTTATCGCTGCTACGATACAGCCGAGGTGGAGCTTGGCTTCGCCTGAGGCGAAGCTGTTGGCTGGGCTTCCCAGCCCCCTTCAAACTTGGTAGCGGAGCTGGTCTATGGTGGTCAGCTCTAGCTTTACTCTGCACCATCCATGGCACTACCTGGTGGACTACAGATACGGTGGGACATCAGGGTGCAGTGGCATTGCGCGGAGGAGTGTGCATATCTACGCACTACCGCAAGGAAGCTTGCTGCGACACCTCTGCTCCGGCGGAGGCTTCTTACTCATATTCTACACCCCTGAATTCCACCCACCTACTACAATTGGAAATTTCTTCGAAGACATAATGCATGGAAACATGCGATGCGATATACTGCCGCCTCCGACCCCACGCATACTTACGACGACAAAACACAAGTCTCCACCGACTACACCCGACTACGACCTACGAGGCCATTGGATTGGGGTCAGTATGTTTGGCTTCATGCGGGTCGCTCTTGGATGTGCGGTGGGACATACGCGGGGCGGTGACGACACTAGAACAAGTGGCCCCCGCTGGGGTCTTGCAGGCCAGGTGCCATTTCGCGAGTTTGTCCGCGAGGTCCACGCCTGGATCAACGAGACCACAGGCAACATGACATTCACGCCCTCCAAACTGGCCGCCGCACTACAGCGCGGTCTTGGAGGGTTCGCACGGACCATAGCCATGAGAGCCCCCCCCCTGCAGTCATCAATGTTGGTGTCAACATAGGTGGTCGCCGCACCGACGGCGCGACCTACATTATGTTCCTCTTAAGTAGGAAATTCGAGAACCTGGGAGAGGAACGCCAACTTAACTCTGGCACGGCTCTCATTGACTTTCGTGTCCATGCGGAAGAACGAATCGACCCGACGTTAGCACGGTTCGAGATTGCCCGATACGCAGCTGAAACCGCCGGCTTCAACATCCCCAACCTCCATATATAAACAGTAATATTATTCAGAGCCTTCGGAGTGGGAACGTCGTGGGCACAGCAACTCCTGCAGCCTCTGGTCCACCGCGCGCCGAGGTACCAAGCACACTTTGATGCTCCCCTCGAACGTATGAGGTCATATGCTCACATAGCTGAGAGGTCCCCTGCCAATATTGGTGGTATTTTTAGTCACGGTCACCGAGCCGAGACCCTCTATACAGATGCCAACGCAGGGCAACTTGCTAGCAAGGTCTGGAACGATGATATGCCGCCGACTGAGACCACCGCACCGTTGGCTCAGAATGGCGGGGCGGCCTCGGGGTCTCAAGACCCCTGGGCCAGATCCAGGGGACCGCCAGATGCGGTCTCCCCTGTGCAAGCCATGACCCTAATGGGCTATGCGGGGCAACCCGCCGAGTCCGACTTCGACTCCAGCACCGATGCCGAGGCGTCTTCTGATGATGCGATGATGAAGCTACCGCTTTATTTAGACTGCTCTGATCTGCCTACATACCTGACCGGAGAGCAGCAAGTTCAGCGGTTATTTTTGGGTTATCAAGAACACCAGCGTCGTTGGCGAAAATTTGCGTAGAAACCAGTCAGAAGGGTGAGGCGCATGGCACGGCGGACACCTAACGGAAAAGGCAAGGGTCGAAGTAAAGGCAAGGGTGGGCGTCGGCGGCTACACGGTAGAGACATACTAGCATCCCTAGCATCTCTCCCTTGGCCCCAGCATGAAGAACTGTTTTTTTACAGGTACTGGCAGGAACCGTAGGCGCACATCAGGTAAAAAGGTAAAGGACGACGATGAAATCCAAATCATGCCAACGGTGAAACCATGGAGCGCGACATATGCCACAGCGCGCAACATTTCCGACGCGAATGCCCCCCTGGGCGATGGAAGAGGCAGGGGTCCGTCACTGCATTTGGCTCAAACGGACTCCGACGTGCAGTGCGTCGACTGGGAGTCGCTTTTGGCCGACCCTGCTGACGGCTCAGCCACAGTCATTCATTTCGTGGCTGCCAGGTATTTATGCGCCGCTACGCGCCTCGAGAGTTACGCCGACGAGCTGTTCGAGGAGGTGTTCACTGGTCACAGCGATGCCGATTTGGCAGAGTGACTGGGTGTACCCATCGCGGGGCAACCTGCAGATCTTGAGTTTGTCGAGAACTTCCACATGCCCGTCGATGGCGATTTTGGAATGGCGGGGGTGCCCGCGGACTCTGATCCCACCTTTCCCGCAACGGATGAGGAAGCACATGCCGTGATTTATCCTCGGGCGATTGGACATCCGATCAACGCGGAATTTATCGATGATGATCTATTGCGGGGAGACCCGCGCGACGCTGTTGTCCTATCTGAACGCGTTTAATATGAGCGTGGACATGATGAAGGATTCCCGCATACTTC